CCCCGGGGGGCTGGGGGGGGCCCCAGGCCGGGCGCCCCCGCCGTGCCCTCCTGCTCATCCCTCGCCAGCCCCGGGGCCGGCTCTGCCTCCAGCGCTGGCTGCTGCTGGCTCATCTCCTGGCTCTCGGCATCTTCTTCATCATCTTCCCGGGTTTGCTCCAGCTCTGCTGGCGACATGCCCTCTCTCTCCTCGCTTTCCAGCCCTCCTGTGCTTGTCGGGGTGTCATCTGCCCAGGCTGGCTCTTCTGTCCCCAAAGCCCCCTCTGTGTCCTCTGCTGTCACCTCCCAGTCCTCTGGATGGGGCTTTTGGCTGTTGCCATCATCCCCGCTGCCCCAGGGCTCCTCTCCTGGCTCCGGCTCCAGCTCCTCCTGCTCCAGCACCTCTTTCACAAAGCCATTTTCCTGCAGGTCCCCGGGCTCCTCACGGGCTCCGCTCTCCTGCCCCGGGGCTTCAGGTCCCGCAGCCTCTCCTGCCCGGGGGTCTGCTCCTCCCAGCACCTCCCCGCCGGCCTCTCCCTTTTCTCCCTCACCATCTTTTGCTCTGCCTGGGTCCTCGCCTTCCACAGCATCTTCTTCAGCCCCCGATGAAGCCTCTTCTGCTGGGATGGCCTCGTGGTTGCTCGAGGGCTCCTGCTCCAGGCATGGCTCCTGCCCTGGGCTTGTCTTCTGCCTCCTTTCCTCCTCTGCAGCCGGATCCATCTCGCACACGGACATTTCCCGACACTCAAACTTTTCCTGCTCTTCATCAACAAGGTCCTCTTCCAGGTGACTTTCCGTGGGCAAAACCGGATGGCTTTCCATGGGGACAGCACGAGCAGCTTCAACTTCCCTTTGCAGGGACTCCTCTTCTCGTGCATCCATCCCTTCACCCTGGAAATCGCCATCCACTCCGCAGGGGCTGCGGGGTCCCCTCTCCTCCTCATCCTCCGAGGGGTGCAATGCCTCCGTGCATGGGGCCTCTGCCTCGTCCTCCTCTTGCTCTGGCTCTTCCTGGCTGGTCCCCATTTGCCCAGGGCCACTCGTGTCCTCTTCCTGAGCCACCACTTCGGGTTCCCTTGGGCTCAGCACAGTGGGCATCTCCTCCTCCTCCCACGCTCCCATCTCTTCCCGGCTTGCCGTGGCACTTGGGGAAGCAGCTGCGCCGCAGGGATGTGGTTCCGGCAGGGATGTGGCTCCATCCTGCAGACTGCTGCTCTCCACACCCAGCCCCTGGAGCATGGCTTCCCCAGCCCTCTCCTCTGCCTCAGCGGCCTCGCCGTCCCCAGCACCCTCGGAGGGGTCTTGCCCTTCCCCAGCCCCTCTGCAAGCCTCTACAGGGGGAACGGAGCTGGGGGCATGGGCATCTTGGGGGGCCCACACAGCGCTGAGCGTGGGCTCTTCTTTGGGCTGAGCATCGTCTTTCATTTCCTTGAGAGCACCCTCCAGCGCCTCGCTGACCAGCTGGGCTGGGTACTGCAGGCTGTGGGTGGGCGCCGTTCCTGGGGGCTTGGCGCTGGCGTCGTGGGTCTCCACTGCGGCTCCGGGTGGAGGATGCTCCTTCCCTTGGCTCATCTCAGCCCCCTCTCCCCCCGGCCAGGCAGGACCCTCTTCCCCCGGGCTCCCTGGCTCTGGTGGCATGGGACTGGGGGCGTCTGGGGAGAGAGAAGGGGCAGCTTTGCCAGGCTGCGAGGGGCTCGGCGTGGGGCGGCCGGGGGCACCTGGCTCCCTGGCCACGCCGGCAGCCTGCGGTGCCGTGGCATGGAGGACCGAGCTGATTTTCTGGAGCTCCCTGGCACCGGGGCTCTGGATTTTGGGTGTCAGGGTGTCACTTTGGGCTTTTGCTGGCTGCACCCTCCCCTCCACCCTGGGGAAGATGGAGGGGCTGGCGCGGTGGTCCCGGGGCAGCAGCCGCCTGGCCTCGGCGCTTGCCGGTGTCAGCTTGCTGCCGCTGCTCACCTCCAACTTGAGATCTGCAAAGAGCGAGGGGGAGCGCGGTGAGCGTGCCGAAAAGCCGCTCGTGCGGCTCCCCCATCCCTCCCCTGCCACCCGGGTGCCTCTCGCTGCCTGCTGCCCCCTCTCCTATTTTTAAACATCTCCTTCACAGAAAGTGGGAAATTCCTCGCTCGAGTGCGGCCGATGCCAATGCTCCCGGGGGATTCAGCACCACGCGAGGACGATGCTCGGCCTGGCTGCAGCCGCAGTCAGGTCTTGCTGCTGGGGGAAGCGTGCAGGTGACAGGCTTTCCTTCTTGGTTGTTTTTGGAGGAAAAAAGAAATGCTCAGCTTGTTACAACAGCCCGTGGTCCTGCCAGGCACGCGGATCCTCTCCTGCCCTCCCCGTGCAGCGGAGGAATTAAAAAAAGAGACGAAGAAGCAGATAAGCCCTTATCTGCACCGCGGCGTCTGCGAGCCCCGTGCCAGGAGCTCCGCGGTCTCCGTTCGCACCTTCCTATCGTGGCCGAGCAACCGCTGCCAGGAAAATGCTTGTGTCTATATTCAGCCTCATCCCCTGAACCCCCCCGGGGTGACACGGCGGCGGTGCCGGGGTTGGTGCCGGTGCTCCCTTACCTCGCAAGCCGTTGGCCAGCTTGTATTCCCCAGCTGGCATTTGCAAGCGGGTGCTCTCTGCTTCCAGCAGCGTCCTGCAAGGAGAGGAGCGGGGTGGGTGCTACGGGGTGGGTGCTATAGAGCGGGTGGGTGGGCGTCTGCACCACGGCGAGAGCCGAGCTGCTCCCTGTGCACCCCAGCACACCCCGCTGGGCTCCGGCGGCTGCTTTGCAGGTAAACTGAGGCACGAAGGGGCTACGGATGGTTTTGCTGCCCTGTCCTGGCTTGGCGGGGAGATGGGAGGGACCGGATCAGCCTCCCTTGCTCCTGCCTCCCCTCCCATCCCCCTGTCCCCAGGATTAGTGTCCGCGCCGGGTGACATCATGCTCTGCCGGGGAGGCCCCTCGGCTGGGCTGGGGACAGCCCCTATTCTCATGCTAATTGTCCCCCCAGTCCCCTGGCAGCCTGCCTTTGTCTGGGGCCATCTGGAAGGGCTGGAAGAGGGGCTCAGGGCTGCCCCTACGCAAGACCCCCCCTTGTACCTGAGACCCCCCTTGTGCCCGAGACCCCTCCTGTGCCCGAGACCCCTCCTGTGCCCACCGCGGTGGCTGTGTTGGGGAAGCGGCTGCTCGCCGGCCCCGTGTCCCCATTGGGGACCTCACCTGTAGGTCGCCACTTCCAGGCTGAGGGACATCTTGAGGTGCATGAGCTGCTGCCTGTCCTCCAGCACCTGGGCGATCTGCACCCGCAGGGTCTGCTTCTCCTGCTCCAGGGCCTCCATCGCCAGCTGCGGGCAGCACAGAGAGGGGGTCAGGGATGCCTCAGCCCTGCCTGAGCCCTGCCTGCCCCTGCCAGACGTGGGAATGTGCTGGTGGCTCTCGCTTCCACCCAGCACCCCTTGGGATGCTGCGGGGAGAGGGGTCCTGGGCACTCGATTTTAGCATGGGGGGGCTGAGGATGGGGAGAGGGGGGCGAGGAGAGGAGCGGGGCTGAAAAGCGAGGGGGAGGAGGGAGGAAAGGCCGGGGGATTCGGGACCGCAGGGTGCCGGCGTGGGAAAGAAGCATCTTTTGGGCAAGCGGCCGAGGCCACGGCACCCTCTGCTCCGTGACACCGGTGGTGGGTGCCTGGACCTGGAACAAAGAGGGACCCTTCCCCGAGCAGCGTCCGCGCCGTCCCTGGCATTTCCAGCCCCATCCTCCCCCTGCTGAATTACTTTTGCAGCTGTTGGGTTGCAGCTGCAGCAAAGTCGGTCAGAGTTTATCCTTCCCACAACCCCCCCGCTGCCTGCACCCTGCTGCCTGCACCCAGCGCTGGAGGGGCAGCGGGCAGGGGCTGCCGTTCCCCCCCTGGCTCTGTGGTGCAGCGGGACGTGGAGCACCAGCCCCGGGCAGGGTGGTGGGGGAGGACCTGGTGTCTGGGTGCTGCTCCCTTGCAGCAGAGTGGCCTCAGGTCCCTGTTGTGATGGGGACAAGGATGTCCCCAAGCCGCTCTGCTCTTCCTCCCACTCTCCCCAGCTTCCTCTCCATCTGCACCTCATCCAGGGCCAACCATCCATCCCTGCTCTGCGGTTTGCTCCCTCCGTCTTGCCTCCTCTTACCCATCTCCCCAGTCCCTTTGCAGGGAGTGGGTGCCCTGAGCACCCCCCAGGCACCCACAGCACCCTGCTCTCCCCCTCCCCAGGGGACCGGCACCTCGCCACCGCCTTCACCCACCTGGAACTTCTCTGCCTCCCCGCGCTGCTCCTGCCACTGCCGGGCCAGGCTCTCCTCCAGCATCTCCTTCCGTGCTTTGAGCCCTGCCAGGTCCTTCTCCAGGTGCTGCAGCTGCAGCTGGCTCTGCTGGTTGTCCTCCACCGCCTTCCAGAGGTTCTCCTTGGCCTGGCAGAGGGAACCCTCCAGCTGCGACACCTCCGTCTTGTAGGTCTCCACCGCCCCTTTCCATATCTCCGAGAGCCTCTTGGAGTAGTCCTCCACCTCCACTGGCTGGAAAGCCACCGGCGCGCAGCGGAAGCTCTCCAGGCTCTGCGAGAAGCTTGCGATCTCCTGGTCCAGCCCTGCTTTCTCCTCCTCGTGCACCTCCAGCAAGGCTTCCACCTCCTTCTCCAGCTGCACGGCTCTCTCCTTCAGCCAGATCTGTGCTCTCCTCTCCTCCTCCAGCTCCTTCCTGCTCAAGGACAGCTGCTTCTTGGCTTCTTCTCGGGCTGCCTGCTCCTTCTGGCACCTGCTTTTCACCTGCTGGACCTCCTCGTAGAGGTTGTCCCTGGCCAGCTCGGCTGTGCACTTCTCCCTGAAGGCATGATCCAGTGCATCCCGCAGGGCTCGCAGCTCCTCCTCGTACTTTGCCCGCCACGAATCCCCGGCAGGGCTGCCCTTGGCGTTCTGGATTTCGGCTCGCAGCACCTCATTTTCCTCCTCCAGGAACTTGACGCGGGCCAGGTACGCCTCCAGCCGCTTGTTGAGGTCCCACATCTGCAGCGATTCCTCACCCAGGGCTCTCGCCCCGGTGAAACTTTCCGTGCTCAGCATCGGCGCTTTCTGGAGGATGCCGGGGCTCTGGCGCCGGCGCTGCCGGAGGATGTCGGGGAGGATGCCGGGGCTCTGAACAAGAGGGAAGGCAGGGAGGGAAGCGAGTGGCTGGGAGCGGAGGGGAGCGCAGCTATTCATACTCCACGCCGGGCGAGTGGGAGGCCCCTGAGACCCGGGCGAGCAGCTGGGCTTAACTCTTCCGCAGCCGGCCTGGCTCCAGCCCACATGGGCTCGACGCCGGCTGCAGGAGGGCTGAGCCCTGCTCCAGCAAACACCCCTGTGATTTTGCCCTGGGGAAGGGCAAGGTGTTTCTTTGCACTTTGGGAGGGTGGCTTGAGGGGTTGGATCCCCGCCCCGGTGTGGCTCGGCTGGGAAAATCCCCCTGGCAAAGCCTAATCGCCGTGCTGGGGTGCTGGAGGGCTGCCGTGGGGCTTGGCGTGGAGGCTGGGAGATGTCCAAGGGTGGGTGGGCTGCGGGCATCCCTCTGCGGCAGCTCGCTGGCACTGTGCCGCTCCAAAACCTGGGGCCAAGGGAGCCCAGACGGGGCCCGTCAAGGGTCTCGTGGTCCCAGGGAGGTGACGGCTGCACCGGGAACACCAGTGCCTCTTGATGGCCGGGGCAGTTTTGGGCTCAGCCCAAGCCACGGCTGAGCCGGTGCCCTGGATCCGGCCATACGGGCATCCCTTTGCTTCGGGGGGACGGCGGGGAGCACCAGGCATCATCCCGGCCACCCCCCCCCCCCTTAGGGTGCTGCATCCAGCTGTGTCCATCTGCAATCTTCTTTCTTTCCAGATGTGCGTGGCGGGAGGCGCTGAGCGGAGCCGGGAGCCCAAAGGGGACTCATGGCTGGGGCTGGGCGCTTTGCGGGGAGCATTTGGGGATTAGTATTTTTTATTTTCTCTTTTTTTTTTCCCCCCAGCTGATTTATTTGGGGGGAGGGCAGTGGGTTGGCAAGGGGAGGAGGTTTAAAAATTCAAACTTGGGAGGTTTCTGTGAACAAAAGAGGCAGGAAAACATTATTTGGGGAGAGACTTGTTGCCAGCTTTTTCTCCTGGTCCTCCCTCTCCCGGAGAGACGGTGGTTTTCCCACGGGAGGGTCCCTGCTCTGTCCCCTCCAGGGCAAGGAGGAAAAGAGTAAATGTCCCCTCCCGAGCTGTCCCATGGGGCAGGCTCCAGGCAAGCTCCTCCAGCGAGACAAGCAACAGTCCCCTCTGCTGGCAAAGGCCACCCAGAGCCACCCAGAGCCGTCCCCAAGCTCCGTCCAGCCTTGCACCATCCAGGAGCTGGTGGGTACCCCGTGTCCCCCACATCTGGGAGCAGGGATAACGGGGGTCCCGCCCCCCCTTGGCACAGCAGGGAGCGGGTTTTCTCCCCCGGGTGCTGCTGCATCCCGGCTCGGTGCCTGGCTGGTGGTGGGGGGATGCCCCGACTTGGGGGTCCCCGAAGGCATCGGCTTCCCGGCTCATCTCCGGCCAGACATCCTGTCTGGCTCCCCGGCCCCGGCTCTGGTTTGCCTCTCGCAGCCAGGATTGAAATGCCATTAAGCAGCACAGGGAGCGCTGAGGTCGGATAATTCATCTCCGGGTCCCCGGAGCTCCGGGCAGCGGGGCGATGGAGCCTTGCCAAGTGCCTTCATCCTCCTCCTCCCTCTTGTTCCATAGCACATCCACTCCGGAGCCGGCCATCCCTGCTGCCTGGCTGCTCGGCTTTTCCACCAGCTCCCAGTTTCCTCCTCCAGTTGAGTGCCCGTGGGGTGACTGGGTGCCCCAGGGCTGCCCAAGGGCAGCTGGCCCCCAGTATTGGTGTCTGCCGCAAGGCGGCCCTCGGTGCCCGCGGCTGCTCCGGGAAGTGCCTGGGGATGGAGCGTTTCCTTCCTCCTTGGCCTTGCTCCCCTCTTCCTCCTCATGCCAGCACCGGGGCTCGGTGGGACACCCCAAATCCTGCAGCCCAGGGAGGACTTGGGTTCTCCAGGGGTGTAGAGGGGTCCCCAGGGGTCTCTTCCTTCTGCGGGGTGCTCAGGGTTGGGAGTCACTTGGGATAGGGATGTCTGTGTCCCTGTGGGGTGCTCGGGGTCGGGATCCACCCGGGGTGGGGACATCCACGTCCCTGGGGGATGCTTAGGATTGAGCCCCCCTCCTCAGAGTGGGGATGTCCATGTCCCTGGGGGATGCTTGGGGTCAGGACCCCCTGCGGTGGGGATATCTGTGCCCCCCCATCCCCGCGGGGTGCTCAGGGGTGACCGTTCGGTGGCAGTGGAGGTTTGTGGGGGCAGCAGGGTGCTGCAGCCCCACAGCCCCTGGCGATGGGCGCTGCCCCAGGGCGGGGGCCCGGCGGGGTGCCGGCGAGCTTGGCACGGGGTGTGCGGCAGATGCTGCTACGTGGCTTCGAGCAGGGCTGGAGGGGGAAGGAGGAGGAGGAGGAAGCGCAGCTGGGCATCAGGGCCCTTTCAGCCTCGGCGCAGCTGGGGACCGCCTGCAGCCAGGGGCCGCAGTTGTTGGAGGGGGTCCCCGTGGGGCCAGCCCCCTTCCCATGCCCTCGGCTGCTGGGGCTGGGCCTGGGGCAATGGGAAGGGCTGGGAGGCCCCCGACATCTCTGGGGCTGCAGACAGGGATGGGGATTCTCTGATGTCTAATAAGGGTTGTGCCCTGCTGCTGCCTTGCTCCTCTCCCCCTTCCAGGAGCTGGATGTCCCAAGGGATTTGCCCCACCGATGCCGCCAGCCAGGAGGGACCAGGAGCTGCCCTGGGAAGGAGCAGGCAGAGCAGCAGCCCTGGAAGATTTGCTCCGAGCCGGAGAGAAAACACCAGCCAGGCTGGGAACATTTGTTCCCAATTAGGATGGGGGACGCTCCTTGCTGAGCAGGCACTCTGCGCTTCCCCCAGCCCCGAGCCTTTTGCCGCAAAAGTGCTGGGTGCAGGATGTGACCTCATGGGTCGGGTATGGGGGGCAGAGGCTGGGGCAGCCCGTGGCTTTCACCCCTGCTTGTCCCGGCGTCTGTCCTGGTGTCTGTCCCAGCGTCCATCCTGGCCCCGTCCCAGCGTCCATCCCAGCCCCGCACCGTGATGCGGCTGCCTCAAGGGCAGAGCGTTGCGGCGTGCATCACCCGCCGGACTGCACCGCTAACGAGACCATCTCCGCCGCCCGTAATTATTTCCCAGGGCGACGAATGATTAATTCTGCTCAGGAGCTGCGGCTTTCTGCAAACTCACCCAAGCAATTATCTGGCAGGCTCCACGCCGGCCCCCCCAGGCAGAGGATGCTCCACACCAGAGAAAGTTTGAGCGCGATCTGGTTAAAAAAAACCCTGCTGCTGGTTCATGGGTGCTGCCCTTCTCCCGAGGGGCTTGGGTCTGCAAATGAGGGTCCTCAGCTGCACCCCGGACCCCACTGGGTGCCCAGGTCCCGACACGTCCCTCCAGGAGCAATCTGCAAGCCATCAGACTTGAAGATGCATTCATTATGATGGGTTCCCGTGCCATGGATGCAGGTGGGTAAACTGAGGCACGGCACATGCTCTCCAAGCTCGACTGTGCGTGCCGTGCCGGGAGGTCGGGTCTGGTTGCTCCCACCACCCTTCTGGGGCTGGTGAAGCCCCTGGGTCCCTCCAGCCCCTGGACGGTGCCTCCGTCCACGTGGGGATCCGCCGGCCTCGCTGCAAAGGGGGTTTTGCATGACAAAGCCTCCGCTGGCTACCGGGACCCCTGCCCGTGGCCCCCTCCTCATCCAGCTGAAGCTGCCAAATATTAGAAATAACCATGCAAAGGGCATTGCCGTGCCGTGGCAGGGGGCTGTGGCGGGGGGACCCTCCTTCTCCGGTCGGGTCCAGGGGATCCAGCGCTGGCTGCTCTTCCACTTCTGCTGCACTGGGTTAAATAACGTGCCCGGGTTGAGCAGCCTCCTCTCCCCACGCTCGGCATCTCGTGCTGGGTTTGCCAGCTGCCAGGAGGGAGGGAAGGGGAGGGACGAAGCGCCTGCCAACACGGTAATAATTTTTTTTTTTCCTTAATTAGGGGAAGGAATAAATATAAAAGGAGGAGGGAAAGGGGAAGGAAAAAAAAAAAAAAAGAGACGAGGACACGGACACACACAGAGGACTCCTCTTTTCTCGGTGCCTGCACTTATGCCTGGTGGAGCTCGTTCCCAGCCGTCCTGCCAACCTGCTGCCGACCGCTGCCTGCGCTGCCCCCGAGAAGCCGCAGCTCAGCACCGCACCGGGGCCCCGGGGAAGGGGAGCCCCCTTCGGCGCTGCCGTTCCCCCCGCCACGAAGAAGGGCCGCAGCGGGGCTGCCGCCGCGCACCGAGCAAGGTGGGATGCGGGGAACGCGTTGGGCTTGGCCGACGGTCAACCACGGGACGATGCCTGCTGCCGTACTGCGCTATTAATTTCAATATCTCATTTCACCTCCGCGCCGGTGGAAAGTAAAAGGAGAGCTGATCCGGCGTGGGGATGCCGAGAGCTTTCCCCGTGCTTTTCCCCGTGGGATGCAGGCACGAGGGGCACAGGGCATCCTCCTGCCCTGCAGCGGAGGATGCCCGAAGCTGCTGGTCCCCACGGTCCCGATTCTGGGAAGTTTGTCCTTGTCACCGATCCCCCCGGGGAGGACAGCATCGCTCTGCAAGTTGGTTTTTTTTTTTTTTTTTTTTTTTAATGGATCAGCTTGTACCGGTGCTGCCTCTGCAGAGCGGGGGCTGAAGGGGGGTTTCTTGCTAAGTTGCATGGAAAAAGGACTTTGGTGCTGCCTGGCCACCGCAGCCTGGAGCCCAGCCCGTCCCGCTGCCCGGCCAGCGGTGGGGCTCGGAGGCGTTGGGGATAAGGGGGATTTTGGGGGCTGTTTTAGCAGCTGCTCCCATGGGACCCTCGTTTTGGGAGAGCTGTTGGAGGGGCCGGGAGGCCAGCAAGGGTCTGGGGTGTCCCGTCATGGGGGACCCCTCCCCATCTGTCCTGCAGAGCCTCTGGATGGGTCCTTGTCCCAGGGATGCTGCAGTCAGGGTAGCAGTGGAAAGGGAAACTGAGGCACGGAGCCAGGCAGGGGCTTGCACAGAGACCCATGGGTCCGGCTCCCCCCCTCCTGCCCGGCAGCTCCCCATGGGGAGGTATTCAGGGACAAAGCTGCCCCGTCCCAGAGGGGCTGGGGCAGAGCGCAGGGTTTGGGGTGGCTGCAGGGCACCGCCGGATCTCCCTGTCCTCCCCCGGCTCCGTCCCCCGGCTCTGCCAGTGTCCCAGTGGGGGGGACAGGAGCGGCTGGGGGAAAACAGAAACATTTTGCAGGATTTTCATGGCTTTTCCTGGCTGAGCAGCCCCGGAGTGAACCCCTAGTCCCCCGTGGGGTGCCTTGGGCTGGGGTAATTTGCTGCAAACCCCTTCCCCTCCTGCAGTCAGAGCATTTTGTCCCGGGATGAAGGGGCTGCCCTTGAGCATCCTCTCCGGGGTCCGCTTTTGGCTGAAGCCATCTCCTCTCCCATCACGCTGACTTCTCCCACCTCAATCCAACCTAAAACCTGTTGCTCTTCCTTTCGGCTGCCGGAGGGCTGGGAAAAACTCCCTCTGCCCCAGCCCGGAGCCTTTTCCAGCTGCTGGGTGGGTGCATAGCAGTGTGAGGGTGGTGGGGATGCTTTAGGGCTGCTTTGCAAGGGATGGGTTTAGACTGGGGAAACTGGGAGCCCGGGTCCTTCCTCAGGGCGCCAAGATCTTGTGCTGGGAGCGAGAAGCTGCGAGTCGGCTGGTAAGCGTGCAGAGGGGCCGGGGAGCAGTGCCGCAATCTGGGTCCTCCCACCCTCTACCCCACACTTCTCCTGCCCCACCTCGTGCCTCAGTTTCCCCACAGCTGGGAAAGGCAGGGATGGGTGTGCAAACCTTCACGTGTGTGTGCGACACACTCACCCAGGTGTGCGTGTGCTCACGTGTCCCTGGGGGTCCCTACGGGGTCTTCTCCCACCCCCACCCCTCCGTGCGGGACTGTATCTCCCCGGGGACCCTCCCTGGGCTCCCCCGGACCCCCTGCTATGGGGGGGGCACATCTCTGCATCCCAGCCTTGCAACAAGGAGCCCCTTTCTCTCTGCTGGGCTGGGGGGGCCGAGTGGCTCCAGCAGCCGCGGGACCCCCCCGTTCTCCCCACCTGCTTCCGGCCTTCCCAGCTCTGCCAGCGGCTGCTGCCAAGAGGCTGCCGGGCTCTTCCCGCTGCATCCCCTGCGCAGAGCGCGGCCCTCCCGCTCCCAGGGCAGCCGGCGCGTCCCCCCGCACTGCCCCGCTCCGGGGACCCCTCCGAGCACGGCTGCGCCCCGCGCACACCCAGGGATGGGGCTGGATCCTGGACTCAGGGCCAGTTTGCAGCGAGACGGGGGACCGATACGGAGGCAGCCACGTGCGTGGATGGGGACGTCGGTGCGTCTGGCCGGCCGGGGTGACAGCGGGGTGTCTGAGGTCCTTTGCTGTTGGGGACGGGGCTGCCTGCTCTCGCCTGGAGCAGGGCCAGACTCTGCCCGTGGCTGCTGACTCATTCTGCAGCTGAGCATCCCTGGAAAGCCACCGCTCGGCTGCCTGCCCTCCCCCCGGCTCGCTGCGGGCTGGCAGGGCACCTTGTGAGCCGGGATGAGTAACCATCACGTGGAGGGGACAAGGGGGCCATGGAGGAGAAAGCCCCTCTCTGGAGATGGGAAGGGATCCGGCCCTCGGCCGTCCCCTCGCAGCATCTCCTGCCTTTCGCCCTGGACCAGGTGCTGCAGCTCCAAATCGCGCCAGCCCCATGGTCGTGGAGCCGCCTCTGAAAGCAGGGCCGAGCTCAGGGGAGAAAGAAAGATCGCTCCCAGCCCAAAATAGACTTCAGCTCCATTTTCCACCTGGTTTCCCACGGAAATGGAGGTTAGGCGGCCCCGCCGCTTGCGTGCGTGCCTGCGTCTCAGTCCGTCCCCGGCAGCTCCTGAGCTCCGAGGTCTCGGAGAGGATCGAGCCCCACGAGCTGCTGCCATCCCCCCTCTCTGAGCTTTTTGTCCGCTTTTCCCTAGTCCTGCTCCCAGCTTTTTCCTCCCAACTTGTGGGCTGAAAAATTTTCCATTTGTGGCAAATAGGAAAAAAAACCCAACCAAAAATCCAACCCCAAACCCCAAACTTGGCATCTGAGAGTCTCTTGCCATGACGGGAATCCAGGATCTCGGGGCATCGCCCATGGGCAGGGTGAAACTAGGTTTAACCCTCTCCGCATCCCATTCCCAGTGCCGGTACCCTGGTCCCAGCCAAGGATGGGCACAGGAGGGGAGCAGACACCCGCTCACCCCAGCTTGCCCAGTTCTTGCAGAGCTTTATCACTTGATTTTCCTTCCTGGGGCTTCACGGCTGCTGCCGGCCGCTGCTCACGCCACCGCGGCGCCTTGGGAACGGGAAGAAAAGGCACCCGCGACAAAAGCCTTCCTCGCTTGGCCGCCCGGGGGGACGGCAGCCAGCCCCCGCACTGGACCCCGGCCACGGCCGCCGAGCAGCGGGGTTTTGTCTCTCACTCCAGAGCTGTGGGGCTGAATTCAAATGATCCGTCCGGAGCAGAGAAAGCCCCCGGCTTGGCTCTGGCACCGCTGGCCACGTCCTGGGCGATTGGGCTTTGGCTGCCCGTGCCGAGCTCCTGCTGGGAAGGGGGTGGTTTGTGGTGCGCACATGATGGTCGATGTCCATGCTGCTTGGTGCTAGGGGCTGTACATCCATGGTGCACGGTGCCAGGGGCTGTATGTGCATGGTGCATGGTGCCAGGGGCTGTATGTCCAAGTACTTGGTGCTAGGGGCTGTACATCCATGGTGCTTGGTGGTAGGGGCTGTATGTCCATGGTGCGTGTTGTGTGGTGCCATATGTCCATGGTGCGTGGTGCCAGGGGCTGTACATCCATGGTGCGTGGTACCAGGGGCTGTATGTCCCTGGCACATGGTGCTAGGGGCTGTACATCCATGGTGCAGGGTGGCAGGGGCTGTGCGTGCATGGTGTGCGGTGCTGAGGGCTGTATTCACACCCTCTCCCTGGTGCATTGGTCCCGTGGGTAAATTCAGGCAGCACTGTTTGCAGAGGGATGCAGGCAGTGAGGCCAGCCTCCCGTCAGGAGGCCCAGAGAGCGCCACGGAGGTGCCAAATCCGCTTCTGTGGCTGCCGAAATCGATGCAGCACAAAGAGCTCATAAATTACAAAGCTGCTCTGAGTCTCAGGGTCACCGTGCTCCGGTCCTGGCGAACCGCGCGGTGCATCCCCGGGGGACCACGCGGTGCATCCCCCGTACGGGGGGCTGAGGAAACCCCCAGCCCCCTGAGGAGCGAGGGGGCATCGGGGCTGTGCTCCCCTGCACCACGCTGGGGCATCTCCCTGCATCCCCAGCATCGGCCTCCCCTCCGGATGGCTGCTGAGGCCGTGGGCAGCCAGAGCCCCTCCGCCACATGCCCGGTGTCCCCAGTGGCCCCCGGGCTGCTCCCTGGGGAGGGCCAGGGCCCGGCGATGGCAGTGCTAGCCACTGGGCTCTCCTTTCAGCGCTGGTCCCCAGCCCGCTGGGGAGAGCCCTTTGTGCCAGGCAGCCTTGAGAGAGGCCTGGGACATAATGGCTGCTTTGGTCGGCCCCGGTTTTCCCAGCGCGCAGGGAACCTCTGGCGTGAGCTGAATGGCAAAGAGAAGTGCTCCCGCTCCTTCCCTCCCTCTCCGCCCCGCGCTTTGTGTGCCC